GGGTTGTTTTTTTTTTTTTTTTTTTTTAACCTTACTATCAGTGAGGATGTTCATGCCTAGTGTCCGGAATCTTGGGCAGTACTGTGTAGATCAGGGAAATAGGCCCTCCCACCTGTACACCCAGCACTGGGGGAGGTTGAGGCAGAAGGATTGCAAGTTTGAGTCCCATCTGAACAACTTGATGACAACCTCTCAAGATATATAAAGGGCTGCTGATGTAGCTCAATGGTAGGGCTGGGTTCGATCCCCAGTGCCTAAAGAAATACGTGTATAAATAACTGAGTTGTCCCTCTGGCCTTGAGGTTCTCCCAGGCTGGGAAATTAATGGTTCAAAGTAGCAACCTCCCCAAAGCATTCAGGCAGGGGCAGCTGTTCTCATCCCTCAGTGTCCCTTGAGTCTGAGTACAGGGAGGACTCCCGGAAGTGTCCTTTTTCTCCCCTCCCTGTCGGCAGATACCTCACCACCAAGGAAGGCTTTCACGGGTTCCTGGAGGCCCAAGGGCAGGAGAAGCTCCCCCAGGAAACTGAGGCAGGAAATCCTGATGGCAGTGATGGGGCTGAGCCTGAGGCCAAGAGGATCCGATTGGAGAATGGGCAGACTGAGGAGGCAGCGGAGCCTGGGGAGCAGCCCCAGGCACAGAAGAGGGCGCGGGGCCAGAACAAAGTCCGGCCCCACATGAAGCCCACGCACTATGACAAGAACCGGCTGTGCCCTTCCCTAGTCCAGGTGAGCTTGGCCCTGCCACACAGTTCCCAGGGTCTGTCTGAGTCTCTGCCATTTGGTCCTCTCCTCCTCAGTCCTGGTGTGACTTAGTACAGACGGTCTCCATTGATGATGGTTCAGTTTGTCATTTCTTGTGCCTTTCTTTTTGCAGTGTTAGGTATGGAACCCAGAACCTCATGAATGCTAGCCAAGCGCTTATCCCTGAGCTGTAGCCTCAGCCTTTCTTTTATTTCTTTTTCTTGGTACTGAGGATCAAACTCAGGACCTTGTGCTTCCAAGGCAGAAGTGGCCTCCCTGATCTAAGTCCCTGCCCTGCCTTTATTTTATTTTGAGACAGTCTTGCTAAGTTGCCTAAACTGGCATTGAGCTTGAGGTTCCGCTGCCTCAGCCACCCCAGTGGCTGAGATGATAGCTATACTACTGTGCTCAGTTTGGTTTTTGACTGCAAGTGGTGCGAGAGTGATTTAGACTCGGTAGAAACTACACTTTAAATTTGGTCTTTTCTGGACTGTAATATGTAACTTGTCCCTCTCAGGATGTTTAGTCCCAGTCAGCCCTGAGATTGTGAGGGTGCATAACTGACCGTGGTACCTCGTGCAGCTAATCTAAGATGTATTGTGTTTGTTTTTTTGGAGGGGCAGTAGTTTTGAGACAGGGTCTCACCATGTAGTTGAGACTGACCTGGAACTCACTGTGTAGCCCAGGCTGGTCTCGAACTCACAGCGATCCTCCTGCCTCAGCCTCCCAAGTGCTGGGATTACAGGTGTGTGCCACCACACCTGGCTTATATTTGGTTTTTTTGTTTTGTTTTTGACCAGGCCTTGCTGTGTAGTTCAGGCTGGCCTTGAACTCATTATATTATGTAGCCCAGTATGGCCTCGAACTCACAGCGATCCTCCTGCCTCAAGCTCCCGGGTGCTGGGATTACAGTTGTACACTACTACACATAGCTCCTTAAGTTTTTTTTTTTTTTTGTACCAGGGATTGAATCTCCGGACCTTGCACTTGCAAGGCAGGCAAGGTGCCACTGAGTCAAATCCCTGGACCTAAAGTTTGTTTTTGACTGATGATATTTTCAGTTTACAGTGGGCTTTTCCAGGTGTGACCCTATTGTAAGTTGCTTCTCTTCCCATTTATAGAAGAAACTGAGGCACAGTGAAGTCTCTGCCCTGCCTAAAGCACAGCCTGGCGGGTGGGTGGGCCTGGCACTCACAGAGGGACGTCCCGGCTGCCCCTGTCCCCACACTCCCTCAGGACCTCCCTTCCCCCACAGGAGTCACCTGGCCAGTGTTTCTTTGGGGACCGCTGCCGCTTCCTGCATGACGTGAGCCTCTATCTGGAGAGCAAGCCGCCTGACCTGGGCCCCCGCTGCGTGCTGTTTGAGACCTTCGGCAGGTGCCCCTATGGTGTGACCTGCCGCTTCGCCGGCGCCCACCTGGGGCCCGAGGGTCAGAACCTGGTGCGTGAGGAGCTGCTGGCTCACGGGGCCCACCCGCCACCCTTGCGCAA